CACTAAGTGGTATCTGCAAAGGGGGTGGTTTGGGCAAGCCCAGGGGCTCTCCAAGGTCATGCCCTCAGTGATCTACTTCCTCCGTCTAGCCTCCTCTTCTTCAATTTCCCCACCTCTAAATAGTACATGCAACTGTGAGCCCACAAGGCCAGAGAGGTAGCTCAATGGGAGAGTGCTTGCCTAGTGCACACAAGGCCCTGGGTTCCATCCCACTGCTACACATAAGCAAAATTATGACTCTTAGGGAGGGATTTCAGGACAACTGAGTTCCTTTGGGAGGACATTAACAGGTGGTTTGAGGTCAGAGAGAGCCCTTGCCTGCTCTTCCTGTCTCCCAAATGCCTTCCGTGTGAAGCAGAGCAAAAGCCCACATTGGGGTTTCATTTCCTGACTGCTCTCTGCATTCAAATACGAAGCATGTTATCTTCATATTACTGTGGCCACCAGGGGGAGCTGTGACATTATGGAGATTGAGGCACTCTGAGGAAGCCCTGAGAGAATTTGCTGGTTAAGAGAGGGTTAAGGGAGGGCTCAGGCTGGTTTACAACACAGGAAGAAGTGTGGTCTGTGAGCCAAGGCCATCTTTCTTGTCAGGGACTAAATCAGACCTCACTCTGCACTGTTGTGCAGAAAACAGCCTTCACTGCCACACTGGCTGCATGCCTGGATTAGAAAGGCATGCTTGAGCTGGGAGAGTTGGGAACCCACAGGAAGGGCCAGGTGGAGGCCCTGTTCAGTTGGTTGCTGAGCTGGGCCTCCGTCTCAGTTCAGCCCAGTCCCTCCCAACCCGGCTGTGACCCAGCAATGAGGTTGGAGGGGGGGAGGGGCTTGCAGAAATAGTAATAGTTGAGAGAATCCTACTAAGCAGGATAAAGGCCCCTGAGCCCCATTTCCTCACTCCAGAGTATCAGAACATTAAGCTGTTTTCAGAAATTGGTTTGATTACATGGCAGAAATACTAATGATAACAAAATAGCAACAGTCTCTCTCTCTCTCTGTTTCTCTGTCTCTCTGTCTCTCTCTCTCTCTCTCTCTTTCTCCCAAGCTTCTACGTCTATCTACAGAAACCCATGGAAGCTATAGTGCTCAGATGAGTGGATGATGCTGAAGCGCCTAGGGATGGAAGGCAGCTGCTGTGGACAGACACCCAGGATGCAAGACTCCTATTATACCTTCAAAGGTCATCTAAAATTTCCTTTGCCTCTAAGAAAGAAGTGACATGCCTTTTGTGTGGAATCTAGCTGCTAGTCAGCAGAAACTAGATTTTATAATACCGGTCCATGCCACCATACATCTTCTACCATGGACTAAACATTTAACAGGAACACTTCGCCTGTCTGCAAAGGTTGCTTTTTCAGTTCTCTGAGGAAGGTGACAAGGAACTCTTGTAAACATAGCCAACTCATTGTTAAGTGTTAAACTTTCAGTGTGAAGAGCCATTAACACAATCTATCTAAAGGTTCACCAATCCGAAAATGTAGGCACTCACACATTTGGTTTTTTTTTGGGTCAGTCGTGGGTCTTGAACTCCAGGCCTCAGCTCTTCAGCTCAAGGCTACCGCTCTACCACTTGAGCCACAGCACCACTTCTGGTTTCTGGTGGTTAATTGGAGATAAGATTCTCACGGACTTGCCTGCCCAGCCTGGCTTTGAACTGTGATCCTCAGATCTCAGCCTCCTGAGTTGCTAGGATTACAGGCGTGAGCCACCGGTGCCCTGGCAGAGCTCACAGTTTAAGCCCCAAACCATAAGAGTGATTGAATGTAACAGGAGTGAGAATTCCATCTTCTTGATCTCCTCACCATCACCCCACAAAACATCTACATTTTCTTCCCAATTAAAAAGAAAACAAGATGACCTACATTATTTCAAAAGCCAAAAAAAATGCTTCATATAAGAGTATTACATTTTAAATTGATGAGTAAAAACATAAATAAAGTTTATGAGTGTTACTTTCAAATGACTATTGACTCAATATTTATGATCTATAGACTGTGGGGGATAGTAGATGTAAATATTTTAAGAGACTAGATAGAATTTCACAGCTAAGCAGGAAAGCATATGAACTGATCATTAACATCGGGAAAAGCCAAACATCCTCAAAATGACTCCTGACTGTTTTTGATTGGCGTTTCTGCTTGGAAACCAGTTAGCTTTGGGTCCCTATGCAGGCATAGAATTGCATGGGATGATGTGTATGCTGACCCATATTTTTGTCAGGAAGAAAAACTGATTTTTCATCCAAGTCAACATCATCAGTAACAGGAACACGGTGAAATGGTTGCCATAGTTCTGGTCCCTTTGAAGACCTGAGCCACTGACCTGGAGCACCAGTGAATAGAGAGACAGAATCTAATGATCAAATTCTTCTGGGCCTTGGTCCCAGTGAAGTGACTGGGTCTAAACAACTCACCCTCCGTGCTGCTTTCCCAGCTTACCCTGTTCAGTGTCCACCTCCCTCCCGAGTTCTCAGGGAGTATCTAGAAGAGAGTGCCTCCAGATAGATCAGTGTTCCAGTGAGATTCCCAGGAAGCAAGGGCTGTAATGCAGCTTTTGTTTCAAAGAGTTCACTTGTAAAACATACACACACACACACACACACACACACACACACACTTTTCCCATGAAGACTTTGGGACCCAAAGGAAAGATGGAGCTTGAGGGAAAGTGAAAATTAGGACCCATATCTAAAATATGTATTTGGATGTCATTCAGTCTACTTCCCCTGTATTTTAGGTCTTTTTAGCCTTCTGCCTTATTCCTTTCCGCTGGGCTATAATTCTCAACAGTAAGCTAGAATTACTTCAGAAATGGTTTCATTTTCCTTCGCTCATCTCCCTTCTTGATGAAGTTGTCAGGGATTCTAGCATCAGCATTGGGAACTTTTTCTTCACTTGCCCTTTCTTTGATTCAGCTGGCTCTTTCAGAAAAGCAAGTGTAAAAGTTCACCAAGTTGCTTCTTATTATTCCTTTGACTGTTTTGGGGAGGTTGGTCATGGGCTTGAACTCAGGGCCTGGGCACTGTCCCTCAGCTCTTTCAACTCAAGGCTAGTGCTCTGCCACTTTGAGCCACCGTGCCACTTCTGGTTTTCCGGTGGTTAGACATAAGAGTCTCATGGTCTTTTCCTGCCTGGGCTGGCTTTGAACTGTGATGCTCAGATTTCAGCCTCCTGAGTAGCTAGGATTACAGGTATAAACCACTGGTGCCTGTACTCCTTTGACTATTCTTGATGGATAATAAAAATTATTGCCTCCTGATTCTCTTATAAAATATCTAAAACAATACCCTAAACCAATATCACCCAATTTTAGGCAAGCTTCTTAATAATAAAGTTTTATTTCAGCATCTTCTCCAACTGATGATGTCAAAACATGCATAACAAGTATCTTACTTGTCTTACTTGTCTGAGACCTATTTTTCAAGAATGGTTCATTCTTTATGAGTTATTTCTTTATACTTACCATTATGTGCCTTCTGGCCACTGTACTTCTCTCTCCCCCTTTGCAAGGCTTCACATGGAAGCTGGGTGGGACAATTAGGTAGGTGCTAGGGACATTGCTGAATAATCTAGAATGTAAGAACTGGACAATGCACTGAAAATTGGGTTACAGTGTATGGGATGCCATATAAAGTATTAATCTAGCATCTCATCTCAAGAACAAGCATTTATATTTTATTCCTAGAAGAGTATATGCATCATGACAGCAACATTATTGTCTCCCTTAGTCTTTGAACTAACTTGGCGTTCAGTGACTGCAACAAATAAAATATGCTCTAAGTTCCAGTAAGAGTGGTAGCCATTTTTCCATTCTTCACAGCTTGAACTCTAATACTCATTCTATGCTGAGTAAAATGTTATAGAACCCACCTGGCTGGGTAGGTTTAGAGGGGTTTAGCCGGAAGCCTGTAGTGTGTCTGCGAAGGGGGGGGGGGGTATGCCTTTATTCCAAGCTGAGCCAGGAAGATCATGGATTCCAGGTTCATCTGGGCTGCATAGCAAGACTCTCTCTTGTGATGTATTGGGTGACATTGATCAAGATGCCATGTATGCATAATCAGACTTGTGGAATCAGAATCTCTTTGTACAACTACTTTAAATTTTTTAAAAAGATCTTATTTCAAACAACAGCAGCAGCAACAAGAATAATAATATCACCAACGTACTCAACAATGGGTAGTGACAGTATTAAAGTGTGTGAAATGTGTGTGTGTGTGTGTGTGTGTGTGTGTGTGTGTATCAGGTACCTTCTAACAATCCTAGTTCCCTGGTGTTACTCCTGGAGTTCAGGAGTAACAGAGGACACAGAGATGTGACCATTGCACACAATACATCAGTCCCCAAAGACTGGGACTAAAAGGCAGGGAGGTGGTAAAGGATCAGGTTCCTTGGGGAAAATAAGGGGAAGTGGTTCTCCACTGGGGAGATTAGGCCTTGTTGGAAAAGTTGCTTGGTTGTCACAGTAGGAGCATGAGGTGGGCGAGGCCAAGGGCTCTGACCCTCTGCTGAGGGTCCTTCAGTGTACAGGACGTCCCCACAACAAAGAATTACCCCATGCTGAATGCAAACGATGCCAAGGTTGATAAATTCTCGGCCAGGCACTGGGATGCAAACCATGTACCAAATCAGAGGAACTATGTCTCATGAACAGAGGCATAAATAATCCCACTTAGATTTTCCTGAGCTTCCACATGGTTTTGCTGGCCTCCACATTCACTTTGTCCCCAGCAGAGGAAGACTTCTCGGTCCCTGCCTCCTCACAGACAAGTGCCATGAAGCCCTGCCCTGGAGGCAGACCACATTGCAGGGAGCAGGGCTGCATGCCAGGCCTCTCAAGAGCTCACAGCACTGCCCAGTCTCCACATTCATGTACTGTGAATGACAGCCATTGGGTGAGGCCCATCTCTTGTCTATAACCTGGTAGTCTGTTGGCTACTGAGTATACATAAAGCCTTTACAGGAACCAAGATTGGAGAGGACTGCTTGTGCACTGGTGTGGCGGGAAAGACAAGGGCTTCAGTGGGGAATCTCATCTTACCCTGAGACAGAAGTAGGGAAAGGAGAGCAAACAAGGAAAAATAGAGCTCCTAGGGAAGGGAAAGGGGACAGAAAGGCAGCTGCTAGAGCTGTCAGAGATGTCAATAGGAGGGACATTGAAGGCCATGACATCACAGGAAAAGCACCTATCAGCAGCAGGGAAACTTGCATCCTGGTCTTTCTGCTGAAGAAGATCCTGAGCTACCGCCTTGCCTAGCCTGCCTGACAGGATCATGGGCTGCAGGCTCCTCTGCTGTGTGGCCCTCTGTCTTCTGAGAGCAGGTGAGTCCGGGCACCGGTGACATGGCACTTCGTTCTTGGACTATGCCTACAGCAGTGTCTTCCTCCTGCCATTTGCCTGAATCCTTCTTCTCTCTATCACAGGCTCCTTGGACACAGCTGTTTCCCAGGATCCAAAATATCTTGTTACACAGGTGGGAAACAAAAAGTCACTAAACTGTAGACAGAATCTGGGCCACAATGCTATGTACTGGTATAAGCAAGACTCCAAGCAACTGCTGAAGCTCATGTTTATCTACTATAACAAGGAACTCAATCTCAATGAAACAGTCCCAGGTCGCTTCTCACCAGAAGCTCCAGACAAAGCTCGTTTAAACCTTCATGTCAAGTTCCCAGAACTAGAAGATTCTGCCATGTATCTCTGTGCCAGCAGCCAAGACACAGCCTTGCAGATTCACTGCCTTCCTGTACACAAACCTCCCGGCCAGCCAGGAAGCGGCGGTGGCCTTGTGTTCACTCCTGCCTGTGCCCCCATTCCCCAGCCCTTGGGACCAGAATGAATGTTCCAACTATGGCCCTGCCTTCCTGTTCACCAAATGGACAAATTCTTCATTACTGTACACAGCAAGACTTACAGAATTCGACTTCTCAACTAGAGTTGTACTTCCTAATCAAGACACCCAGGGACTCAGGGATTTATGAATCCATGAAGGACCCTGAAGATCTCACCTAGCTAAGATGAGATGCCATTTCATTTTTCTCTGCCACACATCTTGCAACATATCATCTGAGGTCTGAAGGAAATTCGATTGTGTAATTCTCACTATTGTAACCCAAGCTCTCTGCACATTGATGGCCTTCCTTGTTGCCTGAGCTTCCATGGTACTGAGATTACAGGTCTGTCACCACACAGGGAGTTCCTTGTTTTAACAGGGGAAGAAAGTATCTACGTAGGGAAGCATGGTAATAGACAGAGTAGAAAGGAAGGTGTGGAAGAAGTCATGGAGTGTGTACACTGAAGAGCCCATCCTTTCAAGACGATCAATTCTCTCCCAATGCCAAGTGCAAGCTGGAACCTTCTGCATGAGTGGGCAGGTGTCAGATGATGGAAAATATTGGAAAGGGCATTGGACCCAAACCTCTAGGATGCTGTTGGCTGTTGGTTTGAAATTAAATAGGATACTATGATCAAATCTGCATTTTGGTCCAGCAGGTGGCAGCATGGGTTTAGAATAGTGGCAGGTTTTAGAAAGCATGAAGAACTCATTAGGAGATATCAAAATCATTCCACATGAAATACAACACTGTTCGGGAGGGAAGGTCATGTCAGATGATCAGGGTAGAGCTTGTAATGTGTTATTTTTTTCTGTAGAGACTGCTTTTATTCTAGTCAGTTTTCATCACTTAACAATTGCTCCTGCAGAAGAAGAGATTTCTTTATACATATCCTTATGGTTCCCCCCCCCCCCCAGAACTTTAACTTTCCCACCCAGCTTTTTTTGTAATCAATCACATCTTCCAGCAATAAATATTAACATCCCATATAAACATGTTGATTTTATTTCATTGTCATCTCTACATCTCATTAATATCTGAGAAGTCCCATGGTTCTGAGATCATTTTCCCTCTTTAGCTAGTTCCTAAGTCTGGAGACTTTGGAGCCTTAAACTCACTGTAGCTACCTCCTGTTGTGGGAAATGCAGGTATTGTCCCCTGGGTACCCCAGCTTCTTACTGTCATTGTGATTCAAAATTTCAGTTTAAATTCTACGTTCATTTGCAATTCTTGATACATACTTGACATTCTAAACTCAAACAATAAAGTACATTTGACTTATTCTTGCTGTTTTCCTGTTTCTTTGAGAAAGACCTAATCTGTTTCCTTACTGATCTAGATATGTGATTTTAGGTCCTTTCCAGGGGATAGAACATCTCTAATTGTAGCAAGATGGGGGTCCATTGTATATCTTACCTGCCCTGAGAGAGTATATACTATACCCCTTTTACTCACACTCCATCTGAAAAACTGTATACATGCTCTTTTAAAGGTACATAGAAAAGTTGCTAAAAGTTGTATGTAAGAAAATGCCACATTTGCCTTCTAAATAATCCTTCGGTTAAAGAATCTGAATTGGCAGTCTTCAAACCCCAATATTCACTAGTATATATAGTGTGTGTATATATATGTATATATATATATATCCTATGTACATATATATATGGGATATATATAATAGTGCTATACCCTTAACTCTGGTCCTAAAGGAACAAAGAATTTATTACAGTTTGATAAAAACTATGGAAAAATTTAGTAAATCGTTTAGAGGTTATTAATCATTGCATTTATTTGCACCTCTAAATTTTTGAGAATTTTTCATTTTTTGAAATTCACTAGCACTACATAGTCAGAAAGTACCTACTATATAATATAAACATTATATAAATATATATAATCAGGAATAATTGTAAGCCAAACTGTACCACTTGCCTCAAACTGGAAATTTATCTGATGACCTGATGTGGTTGGTTTGGTTTATAGCATTCCACAAATAGGCTGGACTGGAAGTCCTTCATTTCAGTTCCTTTGACTTTGTATGTAGATGAGGAAATATGGTGCTACATACATTAATTAACTCAAGCACGAAAATACCAAAAAACGTTTCTTAACATCATATAGGCTCCATTTTTAGTCCCTAGTTGTTATCTGTGCATATATATAGTTGTCCTGCCAAAATAGAATCCGTGGGTGAAAATGTTAATGTGTTTATGCCAGCTCCGAGCTGCTGCTGTTCGGTGAGTGTTTGCCGAGGAAGCCATGTTAGCCTATAAGCTCCCCCAGGACTCGATAAATAACATCAGCTAATATCAGCGCCTCCCCTTGCTAGCAATGCCAACACAGCCAATCTCAGTAGACTGGAAACCAAGGTCTTGGTTGCATGGTGACTAAGGTTGCAGTGGAGCCTATTATATCAGTTGCTTTCTTCCTTGTCAAACTCCCCCGTCTGTGCCTGACATATGGGATGTGGGCAGCCGAAGGTGGTGAGTAAGAGAGCTGTGGCCTTAAGATGTTTTGTTGCACTGCAAGGAGGAGCTGTGTTCCTCCTTGAAATGTCTGAGCCAGGTGCTGGGGGAGTGGGGGAGGGGGAGTGGGGGGTAGCTGAGGAAAAAAATCTTACCTATTTGGATTCCGATCCATTGGGAGCTTCAGTTCAGCCATCTCAACAAAACACTAAAGTCAACTCCTACCTCATTCCCCCTTTGCCTGGCACGGTGCGCCTCTGTGGTTTGCTCAGGATTTCGTGTAGAGAAGATTTTCTCCACGTCTTGGTTGACATCATGGTCAGGCCACTTGAGTGATAGATACAGGTTGAAAGTGGAAACATGCTTATTGAATCTTCCTCCCTCCACAAAGCTGGCCACCAAGCTTCCATGGAGAAGGAAGCAGTGTTTTGGAGCTTTTGTTCCCTGTGTCTGAGCTGGAGAGAAAGGAGACTCCTGGCATGTACACTGGGCCTGTCTCTAAGCGAGGTCCTGGAAGGAGAAGATAGAGAGAAACTACAGGATGAGATGTTATCTAGGAGCCAAGGAGCAGCAGTCAGAAAAGAAAAAAAAAATGTTCTGAAGGAGAAAAAAGAAGCCCATTCTGCTTCTTCTGCATTCATCCTCCTCTTCCTAGCCTGGTCCAGTGCAAGCACCTTTCATCAAAATCTATACAGGCCCTAAAAGGAAGGGAAACATGAAGTGGCCCAGTTAGCAGTCATTGTGTATGGGGAGAGTTCGTGTGTGCAAGTGTGTTTGTGTGTGGTGGACAGTTTCTCCCTGGTGTTACTTGGAGGTACCAGTCGATTAGTAAGAATGCACAGGCTTCTGTAGGTTTTGAGAGGCAAAATTAAGACACAGACAAATCTCTCTTAAGTATAGCTTATTGCGTTCGTGGGTTTCTAAGTTTGGGGATGAGCAGACAAAACCTGGAAAGCCTCATTCTAAAATGCACTGTCTAAAATTTGATAGTGACTGAGTTCCATGCAAAATGCGTGGAACTCTGCATCCAACCCATCGAGAAGAGCCTAGAAATGGGCTTGTTTCCAGCCAGGTCTTCTTGAGATGGTGCCTGTTGATTTCCCTGTCCTAGTTTATTCTGAGTAGCCTCTTTCAATCTAGCAGACTATCTTTTTCTTTCTTTTTTTGGGGGGGAGGGGTCCAGTCATGGGGCCTGAACTCTGGGCCTGGGTGCTGTCCCTCAGCTCTTCAGCTCAAGGCTAGCGCTCTACCACTTGAGCCACAGCGCCACTTCCAGCTTTTTTTTCTTTTTGCTTATGTGGTGCTGAGGAATCGAACCCAGAGCCTCATGCATGCAAGGCAAACACTTTACCACTGAGCTACCTTCCCAGCCCAGACTATCTTTTTCAATGATAAGTTTGGTCCATACAAGTTTTTACCTACCCAGAGCCATGATCAATTTGAGGACTCACTCTAAACCAGCCTTGCAGGAAGAGCTCTAGACTGGGAGAGGGTCCGGGGTGAGGTTCTTTAGAGAGGAGCCTCTATGCAATGTGGGACATAGACCACGAGGGGGTGCTGTCACCTCGTCATGCTGAATGAGCCTTTGAGGTGGCTCAGGAGAGGAGGCCACAGGGGGCCTCTCAGCTCCCCACTTGGTTAAGGAAAGTAGTTTAGGTTTGAGCTCACCGAAGGTTGCGCACACAGACAGACAGACCTCTCACAGTCTAGGTGAGTGGCTCTAGCAGGGAATTCCTCAGCTTCTGCTTGCTTAGTGGGAAATGGAGCTGGGGGTGGGGGCGGGGAGAGGTCAGATCAGGAAATCGGGGCGTGGTCAGGCCCAGGTGGAGCATCTCATGGATCAGCAGGGAGGGGAGCGCTCTGGGCTCCACCCTGCTGTGCTCTAGGGCAGAGGAATGAAGGATGCCAGGATGGGCTCTCAGAAGAGGGTGCAGCAGGAGGCCACACAGGGCAGGGAGAGTATGACAGAGCAAGCCTGGTGAGGATAGACACGTAATTATAAATGAGGAGGAGGAGCCGGAGGAGGCCGGAGCCTGAGACCCTGAGCCAGTGTGCTCTGCCAGGAGACCCACCCCTGAATGATCCAGAACATACCTTGGGCTTCTGAAGGCGCCATGGGCTCCAGGCTGCCCTGCCTCCTAGCCTTTTGTCTCCTAGGAGCAGGTGAGTCCTGGGCCCCTGGCCCCAGGGAGGTTTCCCTCCCTGAAACGCAAGTCAGAGGTCGGAGTGTGCCTGGGGAGGGCCTCCTCCTGCGGTCTGACCTCGGCCTCTGTCTCCTCACTCACAGGACCAGCCGACTCTGGAGTGATACAAGACCCCCAGCACCTGATCCAAGCCCGAGGCCAGCGGGCCACGCTGAAATGCACCCCCATCTCCGGGCACCTCTATGTGTACTGGTACCAGCAGACCCCCGGCCAGGGCCTGAGATTCCTGCTGTCGTTTTACAACAAGGAACTGAGCCAGAAGGGGGGCGACGTGAGTGCTCGCTTCTCGGCACAGCAGTTCTCCAACTCCAGCTCGTGGCTCAGCATCAGCAGCCTGGAGCCCGGGGACTCGGCCCGGTTTCTCTGCGCCAGCAGTGAGCACAGCTGCGCAGGGCCACCAGCCTGCGGTACCCAAACGTCCTGTCCCCTGCGCGAGGGGACGCAGGTGCCCCGTGCCAGCCAGAGCTGCCTGCGGCGCCCTGGCGGGCCACGGGGGCCTTCCCCAGACTCTTGCTGCTGCTTACAGCTGCGATCGGCTCAGTGCTCACAGAATTCTCACAGGGGAGCAGAATCAGCAACTCATCCCCACACCTGCTGGCTCCAGTGAACTCCTTTACTAGAAGTAAATTACCCAGGAGTTAATTGTTTAGACGACTGGCACTTGGACCGTCTAACAACATCAGGAGCGTTAGAAAGCAGTGATGGCCATGAATACCTCCTCCTGATTCCCATTCCAGTGCTAGCTCATCCGGACCAACGTCAGTATTGCCATGGTTAGCTGTTTTCCCATCAGTTAAAATGAGATTAACAATATCCATCTGTATAAGTCAGAGTTCTTCAGAGAAACAGAACATATAGAATCTATCGGTCCGATTATCTATCTCCATTATCAATCAATCTCTATAACTCTTCCTATATCTATCCATCTATCATTTATTATTTTTCACCTGTTAATCTTTTTCTCCCTATATTGTTCTGTCATTTATCAATCTATTATCTAATCTATATAATTATGTATCTATCCTCTATCATCTAGAAATCTTCTACCAATATATGAATCATCTATCATTTATCAATCTATCCATTATCTAATTACATATTTATATATCTACTATCTATCTAGCATCGATAAATAAATCTAGTATCTTTCTCCCTATATTCATCTATTATTTTCCTGCTCTCTATCAATCATCTGTCTATCTCTATCATCTATGGAATCTCTGTATCTCTATCTCACACCAATTTCTGTATCTATTTCTCATTACATCTATGTATGTATGTATGTATGTATCTTCATCATCATCATTATCATCAACTGATCTTCCTTCTGAAGGATACAGTCCGCGCTCCCACAGGAAGGAGCAGTGAGTATTTTTACAAGCACCCAGGGAACACCAAAGCCTATCTACCGTGGGAGAAATGAGGAAAAAGATCCTTGGAACTGCAAATGCTTGCATTTGGATTGACACAGGGCAGTGAAGTTAATTATAACCCAGTTCTTAGTGCCCTGGCAGCTCCGCTCTTTTGAAGAACTTGTCAGCACCAGACTGACCTTAGTTCCTGCCACACTTTGGCCTGTTCCAAAACTATCTCTTCTTTCCCTGCTGTACGCTGAAGTGTACTGTTCAAGGATTATTCATGTAGTGTTGAAGTCCATGATTATCTTAGCTATACCCAGCCTTGTGTTCCCCAGTGCTGCTCTTTTATGATGGCTTATTGTTGTAGAATACCATTTAGTTTTCTTATAGGAATGTTTTTAGTATTTGCCCACATATTTAACCCACATAATAACCACATAATGTTGATTATCTCTCAGTCTTTCATTGACTTATAATTTTGGAGCAACATTGTCGGTTTCTATTTTGTTCTTGTTTACTCTTAGTGACAGAGAATAAAGTACCCTCTGACCCCCAATTCTAGTGCTTTTCTTCCTAACAGTTTACACTAAAAACATATGTCTTCTCATTCCTCTGCTGTTTAAAGGAAAACAGACAGAGAGTATAGCTGGTGTGTGGCAGAAGCAGAATGCGGGTTTGATGAAGCCCAGACACCTAAGGAATAGTCAGAGACCGAATTTGTGTTGGGGTTAGGGTTTCAGGAGATTGGTCTTAGAACTTTCCCCACAGTTCTGGAAATTTCTTCCCCATGACTATGCAGACAGTTCCCAGCATTCCTTGTACCACTGTCGAGGAAACAAGACTAAAACATCACCTGTTGGCCACAAGATGGCACTGTGATGCCACTGTCCTCCAAAAATCTCTAGGGAGAGTTTGAAGCATGCCGCTATGAGCAAAAGGGTTAAAGAAAACATGGGCTTGAATCCAAGGTCTGGCACCCGGGAGGAGGTTTTCAGTTATTGCTGCACTCCCCCAGAGCTCTGCGGCAGGTGGGGGGCGGGGGTGGGGGGGGGGTGGGGGGGTGGGGGGGGGGGCTCTGAACTTTGGAAGGTATACCAGTTGTTGAACTTTTTTTAGGGCGGCTTTGATGTGGGATAGGTGCAGAAAGAGGACCAACTGCCGCAGATAAAGTAGGGAACCACTGGATTGGGGGGTCTCCGTGGCATGTTACAGTGCTCCCCACCCTCCCTCCCTGCGGGCCTGGCTTAAGAGGAGGGGCTGGTCCTGCCTGAGACAAGAGGCCGGGGAGGAGCTGTGGGCATGGAGGAGGGTAGTTGCACCAGTTAGAGAGAGGAGAGGAGCTGCTAGCTCTCAGTCCTAAGCTCCAGCATTCGCTTGGCTTGGTTCCCTCTTCTTGTGATTTATCATGATACACAAACTCTTCTGTATCCTCCATTTTTCCCTTGGAGTAGGTGAGTCCTGGGTTTTTTGGAAATCTATGTCATGAGTTTTATACGGTCCCAACCTCAAACCCTCCATCGACAGGGAGTTACTGATTCCTAAAGGATTGATTGCACCCTATGCCTCCCTGCCCAACAGGACTCACGGGTGCTGGGATCACTCAAACTCCGAGATCCCGAATTACACATACAGGAAAGAAGCTGGTCCTAGACTGCTCGCAGGATATGAACCATTTCTCAATGTTCTGGTATCGGCAAGACGCAGGACAAGGGCTGAGGCTGATCTATTACTCAACTGGCGTAGGCAGCATTGCCAAAGGAGACATTACGGAAGGATACAATGTCTCCCGACGACAGCAGGAGAGCTTCAGGCTGACACTGGCATCCGCCAGCCCCAGCCAGACCTCCTTGTACCTCTGCAGCAGCAGCAGTCACAGTACTGCGCCCGCAGCTGCTCTCTGCACAAAAAGGGCCGGCACACACCTTGGCCTTCCTGAGCCCAAGCTGCTCTTCCCAGATGTGAACTGGAGGGGCCTTGTGCTGCAGGAGAGACAGAGACAGAGACTTTCAATGTTAGTTTGCTCCATGTAATAAAGGAGAGGGACAGGATCTTCCTCCTTTTTCCATAGAGAACAATTCTGTTTTCTGAGCTGCTTTAACTTCCCCAAGGAAGCTGGGATTCTCCATATTTCATACCATTTCCTAATCTATTATATCAAGTCATTTGCCTGATATTCCTCCCCCTCCCCCACCCTGTACCCCTCCAATATCTATTTACCAAACTGCCAATCTACTGAAACTTGATGTTATAGCTGAATGATAAAATGGATGGTGACCAGGCTGGGAATGTGGCTCAGTAGTAGAGTGTTTGCCTAGCATGCACGAAGGCCTGGGTTCGATTCCTCAGTGCCACATAAACAAAAAAAGCCAGAAGTGGTACTGTGGTTCAAGTGGTAGAGTGCCAGCCTTGAGCAAAAGAAGCTCAGGAACAGTGCCCAGGCCCTGAGTTCAAGCCCAGGACTGGCAAAAAAAAAAAGGATGATGACCGACTTTCCCAAATCACGATTCTTCCTGCAGCTTGTGCCGACTTTCACCAGCCCTGGGATTTCTTCAAAGTGTTCATTTACCTAATGCTTTCATCCTGCAACTGGTCCTTCTCTTTTTATATATCAACCTGGCTTATTGTTTTGCTGAATTTAGGGCTTTTATGTTTCTCTTACTGATCACTTCCCTTCTCTTACTGATCAATTCTCAAAATTTTGTGTATTTACTTTTGTTTGTGCCTTTGGTTATTTTTTGATAATAAAACTTAAATTGGTCTGTAGAGAATACGATCATACATTTGTATGGGACTCCCATTTTATGTAATTTATTTATTTACCTTGATGTAATATTTATTAAACTGTAGCTATGAAGAGGAACGTGCCCATATGAATAAATAACATTTGATTAATTTTAAAGACTCTATACATTACTGCAACTATAATTAAGTCACAATGAAGAACATTTCCATTACTCAAGAAAACATCTTCTTGCCTCTTTCTAGCCTGTTTCTCTTGAGAGCTGTGTTGGATGTACATCTGATTGCTATCACCATTGATTAGTTTTGTCTGTTCTTGAACTTGACAGAAACTTAGCTTTAAACTACTATTTTATTAACTTCTATTCCTCAAAAATTAACATTTAAGAATACATTCAGTTGAATGAATCAGAAATTCATTTGCTATTGTTGATGAGTTGTGTTTCATTGTGTTTCTATTTTTTTTTTGCTGTTACCTGAGCTCTCTTTTAGTCCGCCTCTCTTCTCTTAAATTGTGTTTTTATTATATTTAAGTAGTTGTACAAAGGAGTTGCAATTCAACAAATCAGTTTATAAGTACAATGCGTCTTGATTGACGTTCCATTGTATTTCTGTGCCATAGTTTGTTGTCCGTTCCCTTTGGAGCACAATTCAACCTAATGACCTTTCAGCAAATCAGTTTATATCTGCAGTGCATTTTTATCACGTTCCATTGTGCTTCTGTGTTCCTCTGTGTGCTGTAATTTGTTACCTGTTACTACAGGCTTCTACCACTATGAGTGGAACTACTTGGAACATTCTTGCAATTTCTTTGTGTTTTCATTTCTCGCAGGTACAGACATAAGTCTGGGATGGCTGGTTGGCATTTTATATGCACCTCTACACTAATTAGAAACACTTGAACAGTTTTCCAAAGTCCTACTCCTTTTACAATATGAAAGGACTTGAGTTCCCTGACTCCACATTCTCAGCAGAATTCATTTTCGTCGGTCTTCTTACTGTTATCCATTGTTTAGATCCCTTGGTGATTTTTCCTTTACATTTGCATCTTCAGTAATGATAGTTTTTAATGTGTTAATTGGTTATTCTCATCTCTTTTTGCTCTTAAATCTTCTCATTGAACATGATAACATGTTTGTTCTTGTTTCATAGGACATTTTTTTTTACTATAATAAGGGTCTTTGGTCATTAAAATTACTGAGATCCGTCTGATGTGTAACCTATGCCTGCAATCCTGAATCTGTGGGAGGTAGAGATGTGAAGATCGTTATAGAAAGATGGTTAGGGAGACACTGCCCTAACGAAGAAATCTACTTGTGGTTGCCCATGTCTATAACCCCAGCTACACAAGAGATGGAGAACGATGGGCCATGACACAAGGGTAGCCTTGAGTAAAAACAACAGATCCTATCTGAAAAGGGGCTGAGCGGTGGGTCAGGTTGTAGAGCACTTGCCAAGCATATGGAAGCCCTGAGCTTGAAACCTCAGGAGAAGAAAAAAGGGACAGTCTGTCTTCTCAGAGAGTAGCCCACATTTTCATTGTTTTCATAAGTCTTTTGATAAATACGCTTACATATTTGTGAAGCCCAGCTTATAATAGTTTTCCTGTTTATGGTTAGTGCCCTTTGCATCCTAAGACATTTTTACCTTCACCAAGTTATTACTTACTTTCATGCTCATTCTGTGTCAGTTTTTGATATCCCAAGAAAAGGCTCCACTACTAAAATCCCAACCTTCTTATCCTACCACACCTCATAGTTGCTGTAACTAGGATTGCCTTCCCCTCAATAACTTTCCTTTCCTTTTATACTTCGCAGGCAGGGAAGGATGCAGCCACTGGGTGTGGAGGAATGTATCCTGAACAAAGCATCATGGGGGCCACCATATGCATGAAGGAAATACTCTCTGCCCTAGACTTCCTAGGCTGGGAGTAGGTGAGAATGTTTCATGATTTCTCTCTGCATCTCCTGTGGAATGTGTGTCTCTAAGTCACACTGTTTATTCTCACGTTTAGCATTTCTCACCGTTTCTGCTAACTTTCTTAGCAATGCTAATTGCAGGCTGGTAAAGACTTTTTGTTACTGCTAATTGCAGGATATTAGAAACCTTGTTAGATCTCATTGCAAATTCTTAGAACTTTTTTCCCCCCACAAAATAATTTTCCCTTGCTGTGTCTTTTAGTTGAATCCTTGATTGAGCTGAGAGAATGAAGGGGATGAAGAATGATTTACTAAGATATGACAGAACTAAGGAAAACTGACAGTACTCATACTGGCCTTAACTAAGAGACAGAGGATTTGAAGCCCTGAACAGTTGGGCAATGATGTATTAGGAAAAGACTATTTACAATGTGCTGTATCATTTAGTAGAAAAAAAGTAGTCAGAAAATGCAGGGAGCCAGGACAAACGCCATTACAAGATGGCACCCACTTCCTTTCAGCTTAGAGGTAAACGACTCCATATTAGGCAAGTGCTTGGCGGGGCTGCGGGTCCCTAGCTTTGCGCATGCGCCATCATTGTAAATCCTGAGCCAATCCCGTGGCACCTGGTGACGGTAGAAGGCAGACAGCCAATCCTGAAGCGACCCGTGTTCCAAACCCTATATAAGCGGCTGTATTTCCTTGCTCGCTCTCTTGCGCTCAAGCTCTCCCTTCAACTAAAAGGCTCTCCAATAAAGTGTGATCTGAGAAGACTCCTGGTGTGGTGGTCGTTCTTCCTCGCTGGCCGAGAAGGCGTTCGCCGCAAGTGGTGCCGAAACCCGGGACCTGCGCAAGAGGTCGAACAGGAGCCAGAACTCAACACACGGAGAGGAGACGTCGGTAAGTATCCCTAGGTATGCTGTTTTCTACTATGGACTATTGGTTGTTTGCATTGCTGCTTCCTTTGTGGTTTGTCTTTCTGGTGGTTCTCTGTGACTGTCTGCGTTGTGGGGATGACCACAAAGAGGGGGTCTCAAGGAGACCCCTGTACCCTTTTTTGAAGGAATTTTCAAACCGGTTCTCAGCCCTACATGTGGAAGGGCAGGACCAAGAACGCAGTGATCCTGTGAGTGACTCAGAGGAAGAAATGTTAGAGGAGGAGGGAGAGCAGCTCGATCCAGCTGATAATGAAGACTTAGAAGAGGCTGCGGCTGAGTATGAGGCAGACAGATATGGGGGGTGGCGTCCCCAAACGATAAGAGTACCGCAGCAGCCAGAAAGGAGGAAAGGAGCTGACCCTCACCCGTCGGCCCCTCCCCCGCCGTACCCGCCGGCGGGGCGGAGTCACTTTATAAAAGGGAGCACATGGTCGCGGCTGGCGGCCGCATTTCCGGTTTTTGAAAATCCAATTACTAATGAAAGAAATTTTGAGCCGGTTTCCTACTCCCAGCTTAAGGATTTAGTTGAGGCAGTCCGGACTTATGGAGTGACGGCTAATTATACCATAGCCTTACTCTGAAGGCTGACTGTTAATGCCATGACGCCTACGGACTGGTTCGAGGTGGCCCGCACCTGCCTTAACCACGGGCAATTTCTTGATTTTCGATCTATTGTTCATGACAAGGCTCAAGCTCAATACAGACAAAACGTCCATGATGGGCATCCTGATTGGACTGTAGACATGCTTCTTGGGCAGGGACCCTTTGCCGTGGATCAACTAGGGTACCCCTTTGAAGTGTACCGGCAAGTGAATACCCTTTTTTATAAATCCTGGCGAGCTCTCCCAAACAAGGGGGAGACGGCGGGCAATTTAACAAAAATCACTCAGGCCCCTAATGAACCATTTTCCGACTTTGTTGCTCGCATGCTGGAGACAGCTGAGCGGGTGTTAGGAAATTTGGAGACAGCCATGCCATTTGTGCAACAAATCATTTTTGAACAAAGTACTCAGGAATGTCAGAGGGCAATTACCCCAGTTAGAACTCAAAGCCTGGAAGCTTGGATAAAAGCCTATAGAGAGGTGGGTGGCCCTCTGACCAATGCGGGGCTGGCGGCTGCTGTTTTGTCAGCTGCCAGGGCCGCAAAAGATAATAAGGGAAAAGGATGTTTTCGGTGTGGTCAGTTGGGACATGTTAAACGGCAGTGCCCTAAAAATGGTGGTCCTGCACAAAACACGCCCAGGCCGCTAAGGACTCCAGGGGTGTGTCCTCGTTGTAAAAAGGGGAAGCATTGGGCCAACGAATGTAGGTCAGTCAGGGACATTGATGGACATCTTATCCCAAAAAATCATTTCAAACACTCATTCGGAACCAGAGCCAAAAAACGGGAAAAGGGGCCCTCGTCCCCAGGGCCCGAAAATTTATGGGGCATTT